TTATAATAATAATATTAAATATAAATAGTTTATTTGTGTACGTTTTATATTATGTTTGTGTGGGGAGGGGGAAGGGGCTTAAGACTTTTATCACTAACATCCCTCCGCAAAAAAAATGTTGTTGGTCTAAATCATAGAAACCTCAATCCAGCCCAGCGGTGGATTGGCCAATCGGTATACTGAGWAAGTTCCCGATAGTCCGATTCTCGTGCAGTTTAAATCCTGGGCCGACGTACCTATTTGGATTACAAATCATTACATATCTGATAATATTATAAATGCGTTTGTTGTCATGTACTCATGTACGACATATGTCATATACTATACTTAATACTCATATAAGTACCACGAGTTTGGCTGCACCAAGTATAGTAGTACACACATGAGTTAAATAATCCGTCAACATTTTTATAAAAAATTTTTTAATAATTTATATTCTGAGCGGAGTTCTGACTCTATTGATTTAATAGAGGTGTGTTTAAAAATAATAGGTAGTTAAAATTCTTTGATTTTCTATTTAATCATCTTTTTAAGTAGGAAAGTGAATCTAGTGGTGATTCGAGTGATCATAAAAATAAGTTACCTATGTTAAGTGTATATTTGATTTATTAAATGATAAATAAGACAATTCCAAAAAAAGTTTTTAAGGACAATTATAATTAATTATTATAATATATATTGGTTGGGTTTGTCGCTTTGTAATTTCCTAGGCTGAAATGTATAGCCAATCCATTGCAGTGGAAATCGCTCAGTGCAGCTGTTGTGCTGATTTAGGTACGTGTATAATGTATATGTTTTGGTCAAAGTATGAATACCGTTAACCGGTATTTACCGGTAAATCCTAGGTTTAACCGGTATTTGTACTTTTACTGTAACAATTACCAGTGTAATATCATAAATTAAACTAGCTATTCAATTAAAAGATGGCAGAAAAAAGTAAAAAAATCACAACAAACCTTTATTGGGTGTATATTATTTATCAATACAGATTAATAGATTATTCATAAAATTATTAAAAAAAAAATTTTTGAATTATTTTAGACCCTTATTGAAATAATGTTTTTATTTTAAACGTACCTACATATATTTTTAGTTTTTACCAATTATTCTTAGATAGTTAGATAAAAACTTATTATTTTTATAACAAAAGATTATACATTATTCATAGTCAAGATAAAATAATATTATTTTAATGGTAATCATTAATTAATTTAATGATAATAACAATAATATTAATAGTAATTTTCTTTTTATTGGAAAAATAAGCTTCAAAAATTGAGATTTTTAGGCTTAAAGATAAAAGATATAGATTTCAAAACTAAAATTATAAAATATAAGATTAATGATTTATCAAAATATAAAAAATATTTCAAGATGT